TTCCAAATATTTTCTCCCATTATGTGGATTGGCATTTCACCTTCTTGATGGTGTCCTTTGACTCACAAGAGTTTTAAATTTTAATGAAGTCCCACTTCTATTTTTTCTTTGCTTGCTTGTGCTTTTGGTGTCATATCAAAGAAACTGATACTTAATCCAAGGTCATGAAGATTTACACCTATGTTTCCTTCTAAGAGTTTTACAGTTTTAGCTCTTACATTTAGGTTGAGTTAATTTTTGTATACGGTGTGAGGTAGGGGTTCAATTTCTGTCTTTTGCATGTGCATATCCAGTTGTTCCAGCATCATCTGTTGAAAAGATTATTCTTTTCCATTGAATGGCCTTGGCACCTTTGTCAAGAATTAATTGAGGGTTTAGTTCTGGACTCTCAATTCTCTTCCATTGATCTATATGTCTATCTTCATTCCAACACCAAACCGATTTGATTACTTTAGTTTGTAGTAAGTTCTGATCCCAAAGTGTTAGTCCTCCAACTTTGTTCTTTTTTTTCAAAATTGTTTTGGCTATTCTGGGTTCCTTGCATTTCCAGTTGAATTTTAGGATCAGCTTGTCCATTTTCCCTCTCTTTCTTAGCCTTTCTCTCCCTCACTACCACCATATTTGTAACACCCTGTATGATGGCTCAGGTTTGGACTGCAAACTGGAGGTGGAGTATGTAACCACGAGCAAGTTACTTCACCTCTTTGTACAACATAATTAATAACATCTAATCTACAGGGTCATTATTATAAAGAATAGATTAAACACAATGATATATGAAAGCTCACGGAAGAGCCCATGGATTAGTAGCTCATCAGCTTGTAAACAACTTGTTTTAACCAAACAATAAAACCAAAAATGACCACCTTTTGGGGGGCACTTGATCTATGCCAGAGAGGGAACTAAGCACTTGACATAAGTCTTCTCATTCAATCCTCATAATAACCCACAAGGTAGATAGTGTCATTATTTCCCACTTTATAGGGGAGGACATGAACACTAAGGTATGGAGAAGTTAAGTAACATTGGTTACACAGCTAAAGCTAAGATTTCAATCCTGGCAGGTGACTTTCAAATCCAGAAGGTGGTCCTATTGGGCCATAGCTACTGGCCAGTCTTCTCAGGGTTTAGGGAAAAGCTTTAAAAAGTGGGTTCTGGGATGACTTCCAAGAAGTGGATCTTAGGAAAACTGCAGGTGCTTCTTACCCACAACCTGGAATGTAGGGGGGTGGATGGCATCTTGGGAGGGGGCACCTCGGATTCTGCATCTCACTCTCCACCAGGCTCTTCGGGTAGATCTAATGTGCAGAGTGGAGCCAAATCAAACTCTCCCTGGCCCCTGCCCCTGTCCCACCTTGTCCCTCCCCTGGACAACTACAGTAACTTCCTAGTCAGCCTCCACGCCCCCAGGCCCTTCCTACCACACCTGCCAGTGGATCCCATCATGTCACTAGACCACAGATCTGGCCTCCTTACCTCTGCACCTCAAAACTGTGGGTGGCCCTGCTGCCCATAGGATCGAGGCTGAGCTCCATTGGTGAGAGGCACCACATGAACCTTGAATTCAGGCAGAACTCAGTTCAAATGCTAGCTCTACCCTTTCCTGACCTCTAAGCCTCAGTTTCCTTGAGTATAAAGTGGGGATATTTAATGGAGATGAGGGATCTAAAGTACTTAGCAATTTCGTGGGCAAGCCAAGCTCTGCTCCTTCTGCTGCCCCTCCTGCCCAATCCTCCCCACCCTAACATCACAACCCTTTGTCTGTGGTCTACTTTTGCACTATTTAGGGCCATCAAGGCCAATTCTCCCTTTCTGGGACGTGTCTACAGATATTTGAAGTCATTTCTTGTCCAAGCTAACAGCTCACTTCTTCCAGTCGTTTCTCTTCAGGAGGTGTCTTGGAGTCCCCGCACCCCCTTGGCTACTGTCCATTGGCCCGGCTTCACACGGCTTTGGGTTCTGTGCTATGTCATTGTTTACAGTGTGGCTCACCCAGGAGAGGCACCCAGGACAGCTGCCCCTGCTGCTGTTCTGTGAGGGCAGAACTACTGCTCCCTCCTCACTGCCAGGTGCAGCTCTGCTTTCCTCACCTCTGCCTCTTCTCCCAGGTGCTCGCTCAGCCCCAACCCTCTCCTCCCTCCTCTCCATGGCCTGCTCATGGGTGCACAGAACATAGCAGGGGAAAGGCCTCAGAGGGCACCTTAGTCAGGTTTCCCAGCCTTCACATATTCTTGGGTCCTTGTCACAATGTTTGTATTCGTGCCTACCATTTGTCCTGTTACTTACTCTGTTTGTTTCGTCAACGCATATGTTTTTACTTTAGGAAAACCTTATATCACTGCCATAAATATAAAACTCCTTATCATAGACAGTAACCATAACAAGACATATTTAAATTAAAATGAAATATGCCTGTTCTTGTATCACCCGTGGTGGTGTGGCTGCCACACTTGGGGAAATGCAGATCTGGCCAACACCTCACTTCTCAGACGGAGAATCCACCGCCGGGCGTGAGGCAGGGTCCGAGCTAGAGCCCGTCACACTGCCCCTCTCTCTTCTCCTCTTTCCTCTGCACCTCCCTTCCCCGAGTCTGCTCTGTCTGTACCTACTGTCTTGCCCTCCTTCTGCCCTCCTCTCCTCTCTCTCCTCTTTCCCTTCCTATTTATCTCCTCCCTTTCTAGTCAGCTTTCCTAGAAACTTCTCCTCACATTCTTACTTTAAATAATTGCCCTGGCTGTTGGATTTCACCCCTTCAAGCAAGAAGGATGCAGGTTCCCATTTTGGGAGCCAGGATAAGTGGCTCTGTGGTGGTGTCTAGTCACTCACCTTTTGTAGATTTCAGTTTTTCCCTTAGTAAAGTAGGCTTGGTAATCCCTGCCTTACCTTCTTCCCTAGATAGAGCATCAAGACTGGGTGTTTTTTTTAAAGGGCCTTGGAAAAGCCCCTAACAGGTGTTACTAATCTGGGTGAGGCGCCCGCCCCAAACCCTCCCACCCAATCACCTTCTGCCGTCCCACTCTGGTTGCAACACGAGGACAGTGGGCACTTCCCGCTCCGCTCAGCCCTGTCCTCATTCTTCTCCTGCAAGCTGCCTCTGCCCAGTCTCTTCCTTCTCCTGTCACCCCCCACTCCCAGCACCCACTGAGTCATAAAACCCAGACAGCAGGCTATGCCCTCTGAACTGTCGAGGAGCAGAGGTTAGAACGGGATGTCACAAAATGGAATTACGAAAAGCCCCAAATGTATACAGGGCCCCTCATTCAATGCTCCCCACATTCTGCTCAGTGAGGACTCTCACTGCTGCCTGCTGAGAGGAAGATGCAAAGCTGTGGAGGAGCTGAGCGGGGTGCTCAGCAGTTTCACTCCGTAAAGAAGGGCAATGAGGAGACAGGGCTGCTGGTCTTGCCTCCATCAGAGGACCTGCCTGCTGGCTCCCCTGAGTACACGCTGAACCCAGTCATGTAGGGCAGAGACCCCATGGAGTCCCCAGTCCAGAGGAGAGTGACTTGGAGTTGGTCCATCATATATTCATTCTACAAACACTGGCCATGGGACAAGTCATCTGCTCAGGACTTGGTTGGCATGGAAGTGAAACATTGATCTCAAGGTGTTCATGGTTAAGCGGGAGACACAGATGCACAACTGGCCATCATCCAGGTGATGTCTGCCACTGTGCTCCCCACCAGTGCGTTCCTGGTGCCATAGAGGCCAGAGCAGCAGGCCAGGGAAGGCCGAGTGTTTCCATGAGAAGTGCAATAGGGAGGATTGCGGTGGGGCTTGTTGGGAAGGGAAGTAGCAGTGACAAGAGTCTCTAAACATGGGGTCCCAGCCTGGGATCCTGGAACAGGGGGCTGAGTGAGGTGGGTGCCTGACCCACTCTGTCTGACAGAGTCACCTCAGTCCCTCACAACTGAACTGATAATTATGATTTCCAGAGCCCCAGCCTGGTTACCACTGCCTTCCATCCTCCAAACCTCAGCACAGCCATCAACTCCAAGGGCATCCCCCACGTTCCTCCCAGCAGGGCTGGCCAGTTCTTCCTGTATCCCCCGCTCCCTCTCGCATACTCCGCCAGGTCGGGGTCCCCAAGGCAGATCCTGAGACAAGGATTCGAGGATTCATGGGCAAGTGGGTCATTAGGAAGTGCTTCCAGGGGAAACAAGCATGGAAGGGGGGAAGCAGACTCGGAATAGAAGGGGGACGACAAAGTCCTGCAGGAGGGGTAAGTGGCTGGACCCCGCCAGGGACTCTGGGTGCAGTGTAGGTCACACTGGGCCTGGAGTCTGTATCTCTCCAGCAGACAGTGGTCAAGCCCTGAGGATGTAAGTTTTCAGCACTTCCCACTTTCTAGAGCCTGCAGGCTAGGCAGCTCCCGCAGCCTGAGGGCCGGGAATGAAAGACCACCAAGAGCAGGGGTGCAGGGACATGGCGGAGGGTCCGAGAGGCCCTGGATGGACAGGACAGTATCTGCTTTGCTCTGTGCCCACTCTGTCAGTGCCTGTACTAGTTTATTATCACACACACTTGATTACATATCCATCTCCCCGCTAGAAGCCTGGCACATAGCAGCACATGCCTAATAAGAGTTGGCAAATGAATGAATGAACGAACGAATGAATGAAAGAATGGAAGGAGATAGGATGACTTTACCCATTTTCAGCTGAAGAAACTGAGGCTCAGAGAGGTGAGTGACTTCCTCAGAAGCCCACAGCGAATGAGCAGCATAGCCAGGATCCTCATCAGTCTTCTGATTCTGCATCCAAAGCTTTTGGACTTTGCCCAGGAGGGAAGTGCCCCCTCCCACCCTTTCTTAGAGTGCCCACATAACCTGTGACTCAGCTGGGCAACAACTTCCCCTTGCCAGGCCTATGGCCACTCAGACTTTCAGGGAAGCTGGGTTGGGGGGTGGGGAGGGAGGCTATTTTGGTGCCTGTTCCTCCTAGCTGCCCCTATAAAGGGCAGAGGGAGGTGAGGGTGCTCTGTGAGGAACCAGGCCCTTGTCCCCAGCCCCTCTCCCCCTGCACCCCAGCTTTGAGCCTTGAGCTGCCTCCTCTGCTCTCTAGGACATGGCAGGCCCTGCGACCATCACAGTCGGCCTCGTGCTCCTGGCCCTGTGTGCCCACCACATTGCCGCTGCAGGTAAGACCTCCAGCCCCAGCCTGGGTCTCTCGGGCAGGACGGCCATCCCGAGGGCATGGCTGCGATGGCACAGTGGAGGGTGGGGGATTGGCCAGCCCAGAGCTGGAGGAGGATGTGGAGAAGGGGGCAGCCCCGTGATTGGACTGGAGGTGTTTAGTCAGGGCACGGGCTCTGTTTCCAAAGCCCAGAGCCTCGGGCAAGCTGGGAAAGACCGTGGCTCTTCCCTTTCCCTGTCTTTTAGGTGCTGTGCCCATCCCCTCTTCCTGCTGCATGTCCTTCATCTCCAAGAAAATTCCCGAGAGCCGAGTGGTGAGCTACCAGCTGTCCACCAGGAGCATCTGCCCCATGGCGGGAGTGATGTAAGTAACTCTTTCTCCCTGGATACCTGACGGGAGAGGAGCAGGGAGAGATGAGCCTCCAGGGTCAATGAGGAGTCAAGTCAGGAGGACCCGGCTCCATGGTCCCGGGGCAGTCTCCTCGCCTCTCTGAGCCTCAGCGTCCTCACCCATAGGATTAGGAAGAGGATTCGGACTCAGCAATCGTATACTGAGCACCAAATATGTCCTAGGCACCATTCAGGGCACACAACACTATCTTAACTAACCTTCTCAACCACCCTATGAGCTGGGTCTGAGTATCCCCATTTCACAGAGGGCAACAGGCTCAGAAAGGCGACCCGCTAAAGGTCACCTGGGACTCTCAATAATTCACAGCTGCCTCTCACACAAGGCAGCAAGTGCGAACTCGCTTTGTAAACAACAACATGCTGTAGAAAGATGATGCTAGTATTATTAGTAATTTTCCCCAAGTGGCACCATATCCAGTTCTGTAGCCTGGCACCCCGAGCTCAGAGGTGACTTGAAAGAGGGCATCCCGCTGCCCCCTCCAGACCCAGCACCCTAGCGGCCACACATCCCTGCACAGTGTGTGAACTGGAGGCATCTGCTTTTTGCTTGGGGTTTTTAAAGGCATGTTCTCCTCTCCTCTTGCGGGTAGACATTGTGTCTCTCCCTTCAGACTCAGTGTCATCTAAAGGCAGGGCCACGCCTCCCCCATTTGACGGGGAAGACGCTGAGCAGGATCTCCGAAGCAGAGAGGCAGACCACAGAGGGAAGACATCATGTCAGTAACTTGCCAGGAGGCCAGGGAAGCAGCCTGTCCTCTGTGGGGTTCCACACACCCACCTCCTCATAAAGTGAAGTGGTCCGAGCTCCCTGCCAGGTCTCAGGTGTGTCCCTGTCACTCTTCCCACAGCTTCACCACCAAGAAGGGCCAGAAGTTCTGTGGCGACCCCAAGCAGCGCTGGGTCCAGAAGTACATGAAGCATCTGGCTGCCAAGCAGCATCTGGCCTTACGGGAGAATGCCTCCACTGGCACCAGGGCAATGAGCACCACAGTCCCTGCGCAGAGACACCCCGCCACCAGCATCTCCACGTAACCCCCGCCCTGCCCCCGCCCTCCTCGCCAGCCTGCTGGGAGGCCTGGTGAGCCAGCAGTGATGGGGGAAGAGCTAATGTTTCTGTTTCTTAGCATTACTCTCACGGGATGTGTCCATTCTATAAGAAACCCAAGGCAGAAGAGGCCTGCTCCTGGGGGCTGAGCAAGAGCTCCAAGCATCCTGAGTCACTTGCCTTCCCCGAGCTGGGGGAGAAGGTCATGGAAGGAGGGCAGTGGCAGCTCTCTGTCCTCCTCTCGAGCCGGAGCTGGTCCTTCTCTGACTTCCAGGCTCCGTAGGTACATGAGGTCCAACCTGCGGACACACCCTGCTTGTGCCTTAGCCTGCCACTGGCTTCTATGGGCCCTCTGCTCTTGCCTGCGGGCTGTCTGTCTGTCTGTCTGGGGATGGCCAACAGCTGCAGCTCTCCAGTGTGTTGGGAATGTTCCAGGCTTATCCCACTTCCGGCATATTCCGAGTGAGTAAAAACCCAACAACAGTGGAGGGCCCCTTTGCTGCATGTGCTGCCGGATCCTGGCCCTCCTTAAACACTTCTCATGGGATGTGATTAACGAAATGGACGTGGAGGATTAGGATGAAGGGCCAGCCTGGGTAGCTGGATTCTTTTGTGAAGATACGGCTTCTAGGAGATGTTCTGCTTTGCGGCACAGCTCGCTCCATGATGCTCTGGGGGCAAAGACCTGTCATGCCTTTAAAGCTGGTCTTTCCCCACATTTTGGTGAAGAGAGGATGGGATGGGGATTGAGGGGGGAGAAGGACTGCAGCTTTTTTCCCTATGCATGAGATACTGTGTGATTTGTATGTCAAGACTGTTAGACACACTTGCTGTTCTCAAGTAACAATCCAAGTAAAATGTGATTTCTCCTTTGAAGGTGGTTGTGTCTTGCCTGTTCACATCTTCCTTGGGAGGCAGGGTTGGGGTGTGAACAACGGAGCGTGTGCCTCAATGGCCCATCCGAGGCTGGGGAGGGATGAAGGCAGCCAGAGCCCAGGGCATCCCAGGAGTGGCCTTGGCCTGCTCTTGGGAGTTCTGTCATGAACTCTGAAAAACACACATGCACTGCTGATTCGATTAATTTTTTTAAAATGTTCAACGGAACACGTTATTGCACAAGGAGCTGTTGTGGGCGTCAGGAGGCTATCAGGTCATAAAAGATGGTCTCTGGCTTCAAAGAATTAGGGAGAAAAATAACACACACGCACAGTCACAAATCAAGAGCTGTGTGGGTTTGATACCAATCCTGTAAGCTGCATGCCCTTGAAATATGTCACTTAAGCTCTCTGAACCTCAGTTTCCCTCATCTGTAAAATGGGGATAATGAGACCTTTTGACTTTGGGTTTTCCCCAGAAGCAGACCCTGAAACAAAGATTTGAGTGCAAATATTATATTTGGAAGGTACAGGGAACAATACCATGAGGATGGGGAGGTAACACAAGGCAAGGAGAGCAGCCAACAAGTGTTATCAAGCAGAGGGAATTAGAGCCCAATCCGCTGGGAAGTGATGTGAGACCCCCCACCCCCAGCATTACACTCCCTCTCCATCGGTCATTGCCCGTGTGGGCAGGGCTGGTCTTTCTGCAGGTGGGGGCAGAGCAACCCTGCACCGTTCAAACCAAGCTTTCGGGTACAGAGTCTGCAAAGCACCGAAAGGCCTGGCAGTAGACCTTCCGTATACAGCAGCTATTCAAGTTCTTATAACTCCAATACCAAGCAGAATCCAGCAGTGCTCAACTGTGCAAAGGAGGGGACAGTTGACGGGGGAGGGATCCTGCAGAAATCCTCAGCGCAGACTTGGTGTCTGAATAATGACTGAGGTTTTACTCTGGAAAGAAGAGCGTATAGTCAGCCCTCCGCGTCCACAGGTTCAGCAACCTCGGATTGAACTATTGACTGAAATAAAAAGTCTGGGTAAAGGTTGATCAAAGGGGTCTATTTGATAATCAGGTGAGGAATTAGATTTCTGGAAAACAGTCCAACAGAGTATTCAGAGGAACTGCTCTGAGTTGTGTGGGTTTAAGTACAGCTTACCTCTCTTGCACAAACAGGGTACATGCAGGGAAAAAGAAAAGAAAAAAACTTAGAACTAGATTTCATACCTGTCAAAAAAAAAAAAGGGATAGAATACATCTGGGCTTTTCTCTGGATGATACATTGAAGGTGACGTAAACAAGAACTTCTTGGTTATACATCAAACAAGTTCAGAGATGCTGATGTTATCCACATGTGGAGGGAGGCAAGGACCAGGGTCATTAGTTATTCCCTCCATCTCTAAGAGATGCAGTGGGGAAATGTGAGAGCAAGCTGCCCTTTGTCTTTTCCTGCTGCCGATGTCTCCAGCTGGCATCTTCAACCATGAGGTGAGGAGTCGCAATGTCATTTGACACAGGCTGAAGATGGCCTGCACGGCTGCTTCACAGGACAGCGTGGATTTGTATTGTACTGACTTAAAGCCTGTGCAGTTTGCTTGCCAGCTTCACTGTTAGACCAGGGAGAGGGGCCCAACAACCTGTCCACAGAACCAGCTGTGGATGGAAAGGCCTACAACGGTTGAGTCTGTACTGAACGCGCAGACTTTGTTTTCCTGCCGTTATTCCCTACACAATGCAGTGTAACAACTATTCGTGTAGCATTTGCATTGTATTAGGTGTTATAAGCAATCTAGAGGTGATTTAAAGTATACAGGAGGGTGTGTGTAAGTTATGTGTAGTTACTAAGCCATTTTATGTAAAGGACTTGAGCATCTGAGGATCTTGGTATCCGTGGAGGTCCTGGAAGCAATCCCCCGCAGCACTGACAGACAACTGTATTTCCAAGGAGGGAAGAGAGCTGGAGCATTCAGGGATGAGACTGAGATGCAAACGGATAATGGCCAGACCATCGATGACCCTGGCCCACAGCCTCTGCAGCAACCAGCCCAGAACCATCACTGAGTTTGTCAGTGACCGCAAGCTTCCTATATGTAACGGAATATTATTCAGCCATAAAAAAGAATGAAATCTTGCCATTTGCAACAACATGCCTGGACCTTGAGGGCATTATGCTAAGTGAAATAAGTCAGACCGAGAAAGGCAAATACCGTATGATCCATCTATATGTGGAATCTAAAACACAAAAAAAACAAAAACAAAAAACCTGAACTCATAGATACAGAGCACAGATCAGTGGTTGCCAGAGGCAGGGCGCAGGGGGGTGGGCGAAGTGAATGAAGGACATCAAATGGTACATGCCAGTTATAAATAAGTTTTGGGGGTGCAATATACAGCATAGTGACTATAGTTAACAATAATCTATTGTGTGTTTGAAAGTTGCTAAGAGAGTGGGTCTTAAAAGTTCCCATCACAAGAAAAAAATTTTGTAACTATATGTGGAGACAGATGTTAACTAGATCTATTGTGGTGATCATTTTGCAATATATAATACAAATCAAATCATTATGTTGTACACCTGAAACTGTTTCAATGTTGTATGTCAATTATACCTCAATTAAACAAAGATAGTCCAGGCGATTGTGATGTCTAGCCAACGTTGACAGACTTTATCTTCCACATGGGTAGACAAGGGACTGGGAGGAGAGAGGGACTTTGGCTGCATCTGGGTGGAAGGGGGCCAGCTGGGAAGTGCCAAGCTGGGTTAAGTGTCTGACTCCTTGCCCAGGGGCTGGGGCAGCTGATGAGCAGAGTTCTGGTCTCAGTAGCCTTTCCTACCAGGTGGCAGCTGGAGGGACAAAAGAAAGGTGGGGACATCATAAAGTCTTATACTTGTTCAAAGGCCTTTGAACTTCTCAGAGCTTCATACCCTCCTCTCATATTTCTCCTCCTCCCTGGATTTTCTCCTCTCCCCCACCAGCCAGGCTACCTACTGAGGTCAACAGGCTCCATCCATCTCCTGGGAGGACAGCGCTTCTCGACAGCCAGGTGATGATGGGAGTCCTGCCTGCTGTCTCTGCAGTGGCTCAGTTCTTGAGAGAGGCAGCTTCTGTCTCCTTCTCCATCGCCACTTCCTTCTTGGAAACAGACCTGCGGTGGGAGGGTTGTTTGGTGAAGGAAGTTGTCAGAACTGCTGAAATCCTATTCTAGCTCTATGTCTCAACCCTTGCAGACTTTTTGTTCCAAAGAATTCCATGGCTTTGTTTCTCCAGGCCAAACTGTCACCGCCAAATAGTGGTCCTCTACTCGCCACAAAGACAAGCCAACAGTCCAGAGGCAAGGTGGTAGGAGAGAAAGGGTCTCTTATTACAGCTTGCTAGCAAGGGCGAAGATGGCGGACTAGTGTCCTTAAAGAACCATCTTCAAACCACAAACTTTTGAAGCAGTTATATAGGGCAAATGGGCTGAAAGAAGGGGGGTCTCAGAATGCGACCATCTGGTGTTGTAGTCCTTGAGACGCCGGATCATCCCTTTTCCTTGTCACCAGTGATGGATCCCAGCATAGGGCTCCTTTCTGGAGGTCGTTACATTCCTGGGACAACTTACAGAACAAAGTTACTGCCTTACCGCAATAGGGAGGTCTAGGTACATGCCGAGGCCGACAAAGTAGAAGAGCATGCATACTGCTCACAAGCAGGTGTGGCCTTATCCAGGCCACGTGCAAACTGAAGCATTGCTGACTCAGAAAAGGGGGGTGTCTTGTGGATCAGGGTCATTTATAGCTCCAATGTGGTTCTCCTCTACAAGATGGCTTCCCTTTTGCTAACTTATGCTAACTATCTATCATATCTACATATCTATCATAGCTATTTAGGCAGCACTAACAGAACCTCTTTATTAAAAGGGTCATTTTCTAACTTCCCAGAATTACAGGCCTGTCAATTTCCAGAAAACCCCTACAGGACACATGAATTTTTCCTCCACATAAAGCTGCCCGCCTGGGTCTTTCAATCCAGCATTCTGCCTGGGACACAGGGAGGCTTCAGGGGAAATCATTCTGCTGTGGTAGACTCACAGGCCTTGAATGTTCAGTCCAAACAGGACAGCAAGAGGACACCAGGCACCCAACCCCCTCCACCCCCCCAGCCATCACCAACTAGGCACCTCCAGAAACTCAAAGGTGGGTTTGGAAGCAATTAACTGTTTTTCCAAGTTGTTTCTTTTTCCTTTTGTATGTTAAGGAGATGTAACCACCAACCATCCTGAAACTGACCAAGCCTCACCACAAGAGCTATGCCCATGACCTTTGCCTTATTTTTAATGTGAAGATCTCTCCAGAAGGAGCTTAGGCCTCATTATGTGGAAGCATGTTCTGCGACTGAGCCTGTGCAAGCCAATGCCTGCCTCTCCCTTTCGAATATTCATTCCCCAACCGAAATAAAATTTCCTGCTTTCCTTTGTTTGGGGACGCCATGACTTTGGAAATGATTCCTCATGGCCTCCTATTTGCTGCAAATACACTTTACTTTGTGAGACAACTTCCACTGGTGTAGAGTCTTATTTAACTCACCAGGAGGCGAGCCCACTTGGTTCGATAACTCCCACCCTCTTTGGATCCTACCCAATCCCGTCTCCAGCCTTGTAGGATCCCAAAAAGGAAACCCCAACTCCAGTCTCGGGAAGGCGCGGACCCACAGACACAGGAGACCGAGCTTGATGCAAACGCAAGAGGTGTATTAAGCGGAGCTCCGGGTCGACACATATCTCTCGCAGGAGACAGAGGAGTCGACCCCGGACCTTAAAGGGCAAACTCTTATATAGGGTTTGGAAG